GGAATGAAGTGATATTTACTAGGCCCTATTAAAAATCCCCCTACGAATTTGAATTGGTCTGTCGCACGGATTCAATTACCTTCTCTCAATAGATACATTTCAACACATATATAGCGTTGAATATCGATTCACCGTCACATTTAAACCAACATACTCATTTGTATGAATGTGCAGTGTCGTGGGATTAAGTCTTCTGACTTCGCTAATAAATCTTACCTCCAGCGAAATACTCCGAGTGTTCAAATTATATTGTACGGTACTTCATAACCATCATAGGCCTAATATTAATAATCAGGGGCGGATCCAGAGATGTCCAAAAGGGGGGCCGAAAAGGGGGACCGAAACTTGGGCTGATCGAGACAACAATGACCTAGGGGGTCCGGGGGCATGCCCAAGCAAAATTTTTGTGTTCTAGACGCCCGAAAATAACATTTGAGGCGTTGTGAGCTATAATTTTTTTCTTTTTTCTTTTTTCCCCCTGGGGCCGGGCCGGCCCCCCCCCTAAATCCGCCCCTGATAATAACAATAGTATAAATTGTATCGAATACGTATAAATACTAGTATAAATAGGCCTACTTATAACAACAGTAACAACAATACCAAAAAGTATTCTAAAAAATAATATTCTCTTTTTTTACACCTGGTTTTAATAAAGTTCATGTAACTTTAATGAAGAGCATATGATAATTATATCTATTAATAGAAGGATTGTTACAACCATTAGAAAATGTTCTGAATTATATTAGTATCGATGGATTTGCCTCAATGTGTGGCAATGCATAGAAAAACCTAAACAAAAAAGGCCAGCAACATCACGAGTTAAAATTAACCCCCCCAAAAAACCCCACTCAAATACACTGCACTTACGGTAAGTCACCAGGAAATAATGCAGCCATGCGTGATAAGAGAAAATAAAATCATTTTATGTTTCCCTGTAATATGAAGCCAATCAAGACAACAAGTTTCATCGTGGAAAACATCTGATGACTATCTTCCTTCCTGATTGTTTAACGATATGACCGGCTGCAACAATATTTCCCTTATAATCTCCATCCCATAGAAGTAATAAAGTATTCCCCGGGAATTTCTAAGAAAAAATGAAGATGATGCTATAATGGGTCAAAGAACAAATCATATCAACAAAATAAAGGGCCGCATTACCCAGAAATCTAACTTTTGATTTTTATGGAACAGGGTGGTTGGACCGATGATGAACACAGCTGTGGCTCCGGAGGTGTTCGAACGGGGGGCCGACTGGGTCTCGGTCGGGGTCCCGTAATAAAATGTTCACGGGGAGAGTTTATATGTCTTAGTATGATCCAAATTGTGCTTTTAGACCACAATATTAATTAGGGATTGGCAATCAAAATAACACTATCTGGATAGGCAAAGTATTATTTTTTAAAATTTTTGATCTGACTACCTCGTGGTGGCGTCGGACTGCGACAGTTGGTCCAGGCCTGTCCGATCGGGAAGGGGGTGGGGATCCCCTTCCCAGTGCTGGCGCCAATGAACACATTATTGACTTTATATTATTATGTCGACAAGTACTTCCGTTTCTAGAAAATGATCATCTCTTAAATACGCTGTGGGCCGGCTGGACGTGACCCGTTGATAGCTCTACCATACCATTAGGAGTATAAATATTACATTATTGTTTTGTATTTTTAATGATGGTGCAGTATATCCGATTCGTGACGTCAGAGCTAATCGATTTAGGCTAATAATAGACCTATCTTACATAGGTGAAGCACGTAAGTGATGTGCTTATAAACATAGTTGGTGCATTTAAATATGTGAGGTACGCAGTGCGTCACGGGATGGTGTAAACAAATATCAGCAAATAAAACATTCTAAAAATATGATGGAAATAATTACCACTGCAAGATCAGTGGTAGTCCTAGAGACTTTTTACACCTAACTGGATATTACATTAATTATAATACGCAAAGTCATGCAAAAACATCTGCTCAAGACAAAATAAACCGTGGTGGCGCCAGCGAGGGATTGGGGGGGGGGCAGGGGAATTTCCCCTCCGTCGGACAGGCCTCGACCCCATGTCGTCTGACGTACAACTAGGTCGTCGGATCAAAAATTAAAAAAAATAATTTGCCTATCTAAATAACGTTATTTTGACTGCCAATTCCTAATAATGTGGTTTAAAAGCACCCTTTGCACCATACTAAACCATAAAAACTCTCCCAGTGAACCCTAAAAGGGTTTTTATTCACGGTCGTCGACCAATGCTTCGTCGGCTCCTTGGCTCGGACCCCTCGTCGACAAATTTCTAGCGCCACCACTGAAAATAAATATAATTAATAACCACTAAAACAGCACCATGCGCGCAACGGATCATTTTTTAAATTTTTGAACGCCAACCTTACAGTTTTTATTGTCTCTCACTTTTTCAACAGTGGCACACACTATAAAGTGATGGGTCCAAACTTAATCAATTACAGTATGTAACAAAAAAGAGCCAAAAATGAAATAGGTAACGAAAAGGCAAATAACATCAAACATCAGAGACTTCCTTATACACATCTAGATGTGTATAAGAGACAGCCGTCGGACAGGCCTCGACCCCATGTCGTCTGACGTACAACTAGGTCGTCGGATCAAAAATTAAAAACAATAATTTGCCTATCTAAATAACGTTATTTTGACTGCCAATTCCTAATAATGTGGTTTAAAAGCACCCTTTGCACCATACTAAACCATAAAAACTCTCCCAGTGAACCCTAAAAGGGTTTTTATTCAGGGCCGTCGACCAATGCTTCGTCGGCCCCTTGGCTCGGACCCCTCGTCGACAAATTTCTAGCGCCACCACTGAAAATAAATATAATTAATAACCGCTAAAACAGCACCATGCGCGCAACGGATCATTTTTTAAATTTTTGAACGCCAACCTTACAGTTTTTATTGTCTCTCACTTTTTCAACAGTGGCACACACTATAAAGTGATGGGTCCAAACTTAATCAATTACAGTATGTAACAAAAAAGAGCCAAAAATGAAATAGGTAACGAAAAGGCAAATAACATCAAACATCAGAGACTTCAACAATTACAGGTCTCCCTCTAATTAAAAAGCCCTCCAATTAAAGACCACCTCCAATTAAAAACCGTTTTACTGTGGTCCCATTTTAACAAATGTCTTTTATCTTTACTATTCTAATTAGAGACCAAAGTTGCGAAAGGCCATGGACACCCCGGTCACAAAAGTGGTCTTGGAGAGAGACCTGTATTATCAAAGGAAAAGAAAAGGAATAACATCTAATTATACAAAATTCAAATCTCAAATATAGTAAATAACGGTAACCGGGGCGTACAGAATTTAAATATACTGTATTGCCGTAATAAGCAAGTTAGAAATTAACCAAAATATAAACGTGGTACAGTATGAAAATAGAGTACATACGACTAAACTTTCTACATTATCACCCTCTTAATATTATAATAACTAATTTCGTCACTATATAAAATGATCAGCAGACGAAGCAGACGAGGTCAACAGGGAGCGGATTATTTTTCTCATTCTTGGACCACGCCACCAACGAGAAAGTTCAATTAGAGACGGAAAAAACCTAAAATAATAAGCCTATAGTAATCCGAAAAAAAAAAAAAATCGAGTATGGGACGCAAATTAAATTAGGTATGGCGCGCATTAAGTGCAATAAAGAGTGAGTAACCCAGACTACACGATACAGTGAGTGCCCGGCTTCAACCACCATCACCAATCTATCTACGTCTCTCGGTGTTTTTCTAGTTCTTTTTAATGTCTACGTTCTACATCATCATTCTTTCAATATTATAATAATAACTAATTTCCAAAGTGGTTTAGTTCACTATAAAAAAGAATATAGACTGAAATGATTATAATCGTCTTCCCAATCAATAATATAATTATATTTAGTTGTCTTAAGGAATAACTATTTATCTGGTGATAAAACCTTTTTAAATTAAATTAAATTTGTTAAAAATGCTTTCTTGTAGTAAAAGACCGAATCGGCGACTCCAGCTATAAAGTAGAAAATAACCCTTAACGGTACTGATTGCTCAACCAAACTTGTGAAACAGGTTGGTGATAATAGGCCTGGTTGGTATGGTACATCCTAATGCCAGTACCTAATAATAATATGTAATAATAATATGATGATATTATCCTTCCTCGGCAATAACTACAAACATCCTATGATTTAATTTTGGATTTGAAATCACTGTAAAATAATACTCTTGCAACGAATGGGGAGATTCGTTTTTTTTTGTTCATGCTGCGATAGCATTTGCCATGAATAATGTTTTTGACTTAGGCCTAGGCTCCCTAAAACGTACCTCAGCCGGCGACGACTCCTGACTCCTGAGCAATATGCACGTCTGAGCAATATGCACGTCGTGAAGTTACCTTACCTTGACCAGGGCCCAGAGCAGGGAAGGAGTTGTTATACCTCGACTATATATACTTTGTAGTCGAGTAGGTAATACAGTAGAAAATAACCCTTAATATTAACGGTACTGACTGTTCAACCACTAACTTGGTGTAGGAAACAGGCTTTTGCAAAAAGGCCTGGCATGGTACATCTAATACCGTTAGGCCTACGTAATATTTGTTGTCAAATGATGATCATTTATCCTCCGCAGTAACATACAAACATCCTATGATCTAATTTTGGATTTTAAAAAACTGTAAAATAATACGCAAACAATGGGGGATTCGTTTATTTTTCTTCATGCTGCGATAGCATTTGCCATGAATAATATTCTTGACTTAGTTAGGCCTAGTACCTCAGCCGGCGACGACCCATGGAGGTATACTTGAGCAATATGCACGTCGTCGAAGGTACCGTACCTTCCCTTTCCTTGAAAAACTTCCAGGCTTTATTTGGAGCCTTACCAACCAAACTGATTAAGTATTTGAAAATTTAATTTTGGAACACTTCTAAGTGATTTACCAAATTATAACTCGCATTCTAACCAACATTTGCAACATATAGATGTGACTTACATCAACAACAAGGCGAAGCCATATTCAATGCACTGTCATCTCGCGATGTAAACAAAACCTAATGCCCACTTTAAGTCACGTGACCCTACCCACTATAAGTCACGTGACCCGAGCCGCCGATTCGGTCGGTCTAGCTAGCCACCGTCCAGAGCCATAGATACAAAGAGTTGCGACATTGAGAATTTAGAAGCCATTTTGTGTCAAACGCGATGCGCGTTCTGTGTCTAACGTGATGTGCGTTCCTGTGTATACAGTTAGCGGCCTCCTGTATAGTTTAATTCCATTTAATCTTTTTAGCAGTCGAATTTAATGTAAATATATATATATATATATAATTTTTTTTATGATTTCACTACTTAATATAGTGAACAACTTTTAAAGGTCGTCAGAAAAGGGCGAAAATTATTATTTGTTTTCTTATTTAGCTTAAATATTTTTCCGAACGCATGTAGGCGAATGAGAAATAAAAATAAAATTTTAATGATGAACGTAAACAGTGTAATAATGCAATTGATAAATGCTTTAAATTTATATAATTAAGGAAGAAATATATATATATATATATATATATATGTGTGTGTGTGTGTGTGTATATATACATACATATTTGCCATGATTCTTGGGTATTGAAACTCTGATTTAAAGTATTTTGCACATAATGTTTGTAATATGCAGAATCTTCAAAATCTTTTTTATGTAATAGTAAGCAAAAAGAGATTTCTAGCAGGCACGTTTATTGCACTTTGATTACAGTGCTGTGATCATTTCATTCTTTTTCTTTAAAATAGGAAAACTCAACTGTCGACAATCGGTCCAAAACACTCGAAGTCCGGCATGCGAAATTGGTAAAGGTTTAGAGGATTTGCTTTGCATTTAATTGAGTTTGAGCTGTCTCTTATACACATCTAGATGTGTATAAGAGACAGTATTATACCTCTATGGTCGCAACTCTTTCTATCTATGGCTCTGCCGTCGTCGACACAACTGCGCCCTCTGTCATATGTGGGCGGGAAGTAAACAAAAGCACATGACCACATAACGCAGTATATAGTTGTAGCAATTTTCTTCTGTTTTACGGATTTTCCAGCCTGCTCGGTCCTACGAAAGCTAGTTTAGGACACTATTCTATACAGAGAAGAACCAGAGCACTGACATGACACAGCCTATGCACCATTTCTTCAGGCTTTTGTCTGAAAATTGGCTGTGGTTATCGCTCATTTTAGCAGCTTTACTCTCAAACTTTGCTTACAATAAGAAATGGTACAAAAGAAAGAAATATAGGGAGCGCATTATCATATTTAGTCGATATCCACAGCCTGGGACCACAAAGACAAGACTTATTGCAGGGATTGGAGACTGTGCTGCTGCAAAACTTCAGCATATAATGGTAGACAACATTCTTTGTCACTCAGGTTTTCGTATAAATTTGCAGTGGCGGAGGTGGCTCAATCCAAAAGGAAAGCTAGTGAATCCAGGTACCCCTATCCCCACTGGAAAGAGCTAGGCAAGAACAATACTCTCAAGTACAATAAATTATCTAATGCCACTTTATTTTGCCAGCTAGCGCTCATCACCTAATCTTTGCACACCCACATCATCCCCCTATGCCAATTATTGTAGATATGCCTTGAATTGGTGGAAGGGAGAAAGAAGTACAGGGAACTCAGGAGAAAAAAAAAGAGATGGGAAAATAGGGGATTTGGTGGAATAAAAGAAGGAAAGGAGGGATGAAGGAGGAGGAAAAGGGGGCGTCTTCTTTATAAATTTATAGAAAATTGTATACTGGTGAATAGAGGGTCCCATTATTGTACACAGGCATTGACGTGCATCTATATGTGGGAAAATTCATTATTAAATTTTATAGTAAAGTTTAAATACATCATGTAGGGAGATTTTTACCTTGAAAAATCCAGTATCAACAACCTAATACCAGGCTACATAGTGCTCACCAACACAACATCAATGTACCTGTTTATATTATTTCACCCGCATTTAAAATAGTTTTCAAACTGGACATTATTATGTTTCACATATTTTATATATTTCTATTTCCAGACCAATCAGATCCTTGATAGAGTAATTAGTTTTCAAAAATCTAGAGCATCTTTAGCCGTTGAACTTTGGTACAATGGGGGAACATCACGAAAGTTGGAATACTGGCTTGGACGGAAATCAGGCAAATCAAAATTTTACTGGATTCCTCAGAAAGGAGTGGATCTTGGACACAAAATGGCCTATGCTTTCAAAGATGCACTGCAAGATGGTTCACAGTATGTTCTTATTGTAAGTTGGTACTTTATATCAGCACTCGGAATTATATTAAAATGGGTTGGGTGATGGGAAAGGAAGGGGGTGGTAGGTGAGGTTATTTTAACTATCTGTGAAGGAGTATATAAATATAATATTAAATTATATTTTATATATATTGTTCCTATTTCTATAGGCAAGTTCATAACTTATAAGTATTGATTATTAATTGATAGGTAGGAAGTGATATCCCTGCAATTGATGATTCAACTTTGACATCTGCAATGACCTTACTACATAACAATGTGGATATGATTCTAGGACCAGCACAGGATGGCGGATATTATCTCATTGGTCTAAATTCACAAATTTTGCAAAAACTTGGCAAGAAAAAGTTGGGTAAGGTTTTTAGAATATATGTTATATATATATATGTTATATATTATGTAACCTATGTATAATAATTTCCACTAGTGTATAATATTGAATGCAACTATTAAAAATAGTAATTGCTTAATAATATATTGTACTAAAGTACTGATTGAAAATTATGTTATTTATATAAAATAGAATATAAAATTTAAAAAAAATTATTAAAGTCAGGCTCTGGAGGAAACAAATTTTTGATATGTTGTAGAACTGATTTTTCTAAGACAGAAAAAAGTAGTTTGATCAAAAACTGAGCAACGGTGAATGAGATACAGATTTTTGAATATTTAAAAACTGTGGGAATAAGGTGTAAAAATGGGCAGTTACGCCCCTTTTTCCCCCAGTTTTTAAATATTAAAAAATCTGTATCTCATTCACCGTTCCCCAGTTTTTCGTCAAACAACTTTTTCTGTCCTAGAAAAATCAGTTCTACAATATATCAAAAATTATTTTTCCTCCGGAGTCTGACTTTAAACAAAATTGAAGATTAACATAAAAGAACATTATCTGTTGCTAGATTGTCTGTTTGAAGGCATGGAATGGGGGACGGAAAGGGTAAAAGAACAGCAAATAGCTGTTGCTAAGAAACACAACATACATGTAACGCTACTACCAACAATACTTCAAGATATTGTAAGTAGCTTATAACATTTTAAATAATTTTTGACACCTTTACATTCTGAAGCTTCTTAATTTTTTTTTTTTATTTATGTTACTCAAAAATTTGTTGTCTTCATTATGTTTGCAGGTTTTGTTAAAGCACTTTAATTAAAAAATATTTTTTAAAATTCTAGTTAGTACTGTACCTTGTTGATAATGAAAAGCAGCCACAATATATACACATTTTTTATTTGTCTGTTTTGGTTATTTACTTTTAGCGGGGTTAGCTTAGGTTGACCTACTAGGATAGATTTTGCTGTTTTTGTTTTCTGTACAGTGCATTGAGACCATGTATTATGCACTATACAAGTCTCCAACCATTACCATTTACAGTAAAAAATAAGCCATGAAATACCATGCCATACTGTACCGTCAGTACAAGCTGGGGTATCTACTAAGCATGGCTGGCTGAGAATGGTCAGTGTGTGGTTCAAGTGGCCGCACCATACAAAACTTTTGATTGTTTTTTGTACTAGTGTATTTCATAATATGAAGGATAGGGAGCATATCTTGTTCGGGCTTTCGTCCATTCCCTATTCAGGCAATACATGTAACTTTAATTCTGTATACCTTTGCTAAATAAATATTATTATTATTATTATTATTATTATTAGCTTCCCAATTATCAAATAAGCATGGTTGTAATGGCGATACACTTATAAAGTTTGCAAGTTACATTTATATTGTAATATACTTTATCAACCAATCAGGACACAGTAGATGATCTTAGTGAGTTTGAGAGGTCAACTGGGGTCACACTGAGGGAGTTGACGAGACCAAAGTTGTCAGTAATTGTTCCTGTTCTGAATGAAGAACACAATATTCATAAAGTACTGAGAAATATAATTACAGTAAGTGTACACTTGTGAAGATGTTAAAAAAGTAAAGGAGGTGTATAAGTTATGGTGGTTACGCATTTTTCCCAAGGTTTTAAATATTTGGCAACCCCCCCCCCCCCTTGAATCTGCCACTGGGTGGCAATGACCATAGATTAATAACACCTGTTGAAGATAATTGTGAAAATGCGAGGTTTCCTCCTGTTTTGTGAACCTGCATTCAGTGGCGTAACGCCTATGCGCTCTCACGCAGCGGTCGCCCCCCCCTATGCCCCCGACTTAGGGCCCAAAGGGGCCTACCAATAGGTTCCTCGATCTAGCACAATGACCAAAAAGGACTTTGTTGATAAATAATACCATAATGTGTTTCTGAAATCGACTGTAAGGCATATATCATATTATGTGAAGTGCTTAGAGGCTTTGTTAAGGCATTTAAAGCGCTATATAAGAATGACATATTATTATTATTATAACGATTAAAAAGAGGTGCCCCGTCGATCCGACGGGGCTCCTCTCGGCCCGGGAACCCACCAAATTTGTCAAAAAAAAAAATTTCTAATGCAGATAAAAAGAAAATTATATTCACCCAAGTCTGTGATGCCATTTCCGGCCATCTAGACATGCCATTATAATACATTTACTTATCTCATCCACACAAGGGCAACAGCATAATGTGTGTATAAAGAGTTGGGGGAGCTGCTGGCCCGGGGCCCACTAAATCTGTCAAAATATTTTTAACCGGAGATAAAAAAAAAATATATATTCACAATTTTATGCCTGTGAAGTGCCATTTCCGGCCATCTAAAGGTGCCGTATTCATAAATTTTCTTATCTCAGCCCCAACCATGGTGGGTCTGAGGTGGTATAGACTCTCTAACTGTGAAAGTCCCTCCCTGGCCTCAATTTTCTGGATCCATATTATATCATTTATTCGTCGTTAAAAACATTTAGAATAAAAAGGAACATCTAAAATCCCACAATGGAATTGGTGACTGGGACCCAAGGGCCCCCAGTTTCAGAAATACACAAGGCCCCTGGCCCCATCGTTACGCCACTGCCTACATTACATTATGAGTTATTGCTATAAAAAATGATTCACAGATAATTTTGATATTTTCTAGAGTTGCACATGGCCGGAATCACTTGAAATCATTCTGGTTGATGGTGGAAGTAGCGATGGCACAAGACAGGAAGCTCATCTGTTCTCTAAAGAACACAAAGATGTTATCATCAAGATAGTTTCAAGCAAGAGAGGTACAGTAAAAATCCTGTTCTCCCCATATGTCCCAAGACACTTGACTCTGATTTGAACACATGGGCTTGCTTAATTTTATAAAACTTCAAAGGTAAGGGTTAAAGTACCTTGGATTGATGTAAATATTTTCTTTGAAGGTCGAGGTGTGCAGCAAAATACTGGAGTATCATCCTCTTCAGGTGATAACCTATTGTTCCTTCATGCAGACACTACGTTGCCAAAGAGGTATGATGAGCATGTGGTGCTGACTCTGGCCGAGCCAGGAGTTTCAGCCGGTGCATTCCGGTTCGGACTGGATTACTTGCATGCAGACAATCAGGATATGTAAGTAGTGGAGATTTATTTACTTCTGTCCTTAGGCACAAAGTAATATAATTTGAATGCATCTGTACGATTAGCTCTGCTCATACCTCATATCAAGGGGTTCTAAATCCCAAGATTTGTGAAAGTTGCAGAAATCGGGATTTTCCAGCAGTCCAACAAGGAAGCAATTGTTTCTTGTTATTAACTAAGGGAACACGGGTTAGACTGTCCCCAGACCAGTGGGAACCTAGAGATGTTGCAGCTAGAATTCCATGTACAGTCTGGGTGGTCAATAGGATTAAGCACCATTACGTAGCTTCTCCTATTCACTATCCAATATATTTTCAGATTAACAAAAATAAACTTAAAATATCTATTTTCACCTTTTACAGAGACAATTATTCCAGATTGTTTAGATGGCAAATGGAACTGCTTGAATGGGGAGTAAACTACAGATCCATAAATAATGGTATGACATTCGGAAAAGATACAGTAGAATTAGCAACCGAGCACGGGTCAGGAGGAAATAGGTACCTCTGTCAAACAAGCATGGACCATGTCATTGGACACCACTTGACGTCAGCGGACTGAAAATATTTTTTTAATCATTGTAATTGTACTTTTTAGGATCTAAAAGTACAATATTTGTACCCATCTTTTTGACTCTTGAACCCATCTTTTCCCATGTCCCTAAATAGAGGTCCTGGGTGGCCACAAGTTTTGGACCCCGTCAGGCCAGTTTGACCCCTTTTCAATAAATATATTAAGCACCACAAACCCTGTTTGATTAATCTTTACAGAACTGCCATATGGTGACCAGGCAATTTTTCTCACAAAAAGAACATTTGATCAAGTCGGTGGCTTCCCAGCTTTTCTGTTATTTGAGGATTTTATATTAATAAAGAAGCTTCAGCAATTGGGACATGTACAAACGGTGGAAGACGAGTATGCGGTTACATCGACGCGTAGACTGAAAAAACATGGCTACATCAAGGCAAGAAACTTATGTTTACCAAAAACAACATAATGAGCTGATGCCTTAAACTGTTGCAATTTGATTCAGAATTTCAGAGGCAAAGGAAAACCAAAAACCAAACCAAAATTTTTGGCCTATAGCAATTTTAGTTATGCATGAATTTTATTTTAATGGGTAATGCATGCTTATATAGGGCCTATACCATATCACTGTCCATGGCATATCCATTTGGGTACAAACCTAAATCTGCCACTGCATCATGCAATGCTCTTGTGAATTTTACATCTAACCCTATTTTTTCTTATAGACTGTTGGCTTGAATATTTTGTTGGTGTTGGCATACAGAATCGGTGTTCACCCAAATACACTGGCAAGATGGTATTACGGATGTTGATTAATTGATGCCATTCGTCTATCCTTTAAAGCCGTACCAGTCTAGAGAATCTGGGGCCAAAAGTGGGACCGGTCGAGATCCCCTGAGCTGATCAAACTAAAATAAGTATTTGTTTACAAGTATTGTTTAGAATATTGCTGCTGATGGATTTGTTTACATTAAGTACAGTATGTAACTCATTCGATCTTTGTTGAGTAAGACGTTAGATTAAGCCCCTGTCAAAACGGGTTGCTTATTGATCCCAATTAGGTGAAAAAAAATGTAGCTCCACATGAATAAATTTATTAGAATGTGTTGAGAATGATGTTACTTCCAGTAGATTTACAGTCATTTTTGTGGGTGGGGGGACGTTTATATTTATTCCAAGAGAGGCTATAGGGGGAGAAATTTATTTGGGGGGAGAGGGAGAGGGAGTGCGTTAATTTAAAGCGGGAAGTTTATTCAAACACGGTAATTAAATCACAATACAAACCTGTTATCAGGGGTCCTAAGTTGGAAGAAATCCCGTGTGGGAGATCTGGTTAAATGAGCTTTCTTAAGTTGGAAGAAATCCCTTGTGGGAGATCTGGTTAAATGAGCTTCTTAAGTTGGAAGAAATCCCTTGTGGGAGATCTGGTTAAATGAGCTTTCTTAAGTTGGAAGAAATCCCTTGTGGGAGATCTGGTAAAATGAGCTTTCTTAACATAAACATGGTGAGACCCATCGCCAATGACTTCCATGAGACAATTGATAATGAATTATTAAAAAGATGGAAATTATTATGAATTTGCAGGAGGTGGGTTACTTTCCAGGGAGATTCTTGCATGTTTGCGGGAGTCTGTCCCGATTTCCAGGTGACTCGGCACCCATGTGTTATGTTTTGACAATCATGGAAATGGGAATCTTTTCAAAACTTGCAAGACAAAATATAATTGAAGTTTCTTTTTTAAATATTTATTCACAATTATATAGAAAATACATGTAAGTGGCTACCACGCTACGGATGTAACCAAACATTACATTCACTTAAAAATCAGATTCAGCAACCTTTGACATGAAGGCTTCATAATCAGTGTAATAATTTTGACATTATGCAAGTATAATTGTGATAGTTCGTTAATAATCATAATTATTATATTAGGTATTTTTGATAAAACAGTATATACAAAAAGTACATATCTCTGCACTGTAAATAAAATGTGTTGGAAATAAATATGGTATCTAGTGATTCTATTGACATTACTTAGTTATTCACTGTTCTCATTATTTTATTAAAATTAAATAAGATAATAAATTTAATCAATTTAGGTACCATAATTTCATTAAAACTTCTAAATTGTTTTCACAAGTTTGAAGTCAAAATTGTCATCACTAAAATTCAATGCATTGAACGTACTAAGAACAATTACTTACTTTATTTAACATTATTGAAAATTAAATTAAAATTAAACACACTTTTATTCCAAACCAAGAAAATATTGTTTAAACTCTGGGCTGAAAAAATCACTTGGGTGATGTTACATTCCATATACATTTTGAATGTTCACTAATATTAATACAATTAACAGCTGAAAACTATACCCAGCATTACATTAAACCTATTACAAAATTGATTCTTAACTTTGTATACATTTTTAATCCATTACATAATATGATGGAACTATATAACCTGTCCAGCAGAGCAAAGAAATAAATTAGCATATTAAAAACCATAGAATTATATATTATTATAATAGATTTAAAAACCATCCCTTTTTGGTATATCTACTACATGGTCCATACTAACAATGAATATGATATTAAAATTATGTTAATTTCATTAACATCAATTAAAATATTCTTATTAACATTAATATTAACAATAATTTCAATATTATTAATTTGTTACTATCACTAATTCTAGAAAAATGCCATATATAGTTAGTTCACTGTTCATACTTTATCAGCCATAGCACGGTTTTGGGAATAGTTTATTGGTATAGTACTTGGTTAACAGTTAATGCCTGAATTCTATATACAGTACGTACAGGGTAAAGAAACCTCTGCAAGCCTGATACAACAGTAGCAATGCTAATTTGACATCAAAAATATCAATTCCAACAATAAAACTTTTGCCAGTTACATATCCACCATAAAATATAAACAATATATAGGTAAATAAAGGATAAAACATTTTTCAAATTGGTTACAATAAAACACTGTTTCACATGGGATTCCAAACATGAATAAAACAGCCATACAATTTGACACGTCCACTCTTCAATCATGCAATATATCTAAAATTTCATCACTATTGTTTTTTTAAAGAGATCATCGTAAAAGATAACATAGCTTAAAAAATATCTGCTATTGGTAACTGCGTACGATTTACGAGCACATCTTTCTCATCAAAAGTCTAGTACTTGGCATCCTATCATTTCAATATAAACTGGTTGCATTTGTGGTCAATTAAAATGGTCTATGACATTGAGTCTTAGACAAATCATGAAAGACACTTGGATATAAAAAATAAAAGTTTGTTGGAACTTATTCTTATTACTGCAATTTATGCACCAGTACATTCATGTATTTGGGTCACCTTCCTCCAAACAAACCTAAACTGATGTAATTAATAAAAAAATATAAACAAAAAATAGAAATAAAAGTAAATTATTAATTTGAGTATTCACTCACTAAAATACACAACAGAGTAAAAAAAATGAGAAAGTAAATATTAAGTTACCTATAAATACTTACTGTTTCTAAAAAATATAATAAAACTATAAAACTAATAAAAATATACAGATAAAAAGACAAAGAACACTTAATATGGAACACCAACTGAACAAATTATAGCACAGGATATAAATAAAGAACAAAATAATTAGCACAATATACATCAATAATCAACAAACACATACAAGCTCAGTATAATGAACACTTATATAAAGCAACTCAGCCCTGAACATGTATAAATGCAACCTCCATACACATACTCAAATCAAAACCTCTATAATTCAAAACTATTCACAAACTTAGCTCTGAACCTGTATAATTCAGACCTTCACACAAACTCTGGTTGTTACATGCAACCTCAGTTCTGAATATGTGTAACAATCCACCTTTCAAAATTGCATATCAAAATAGAGAAACAATGCATATACCAATATAACGCACAACAAAACCAATGACTTATCTCAGCAAAAAAAAAAGAAGTTTGGTTGAAAAACAGATAAACTCTATAAAATCTTGAAGGGAATGTTAAAGACAATTACTGTTTATTTTCTCACAATTTACATAAAAAAAAAAAGAAAAAAAAAAGAAAAAATTATGAATATCACAAAGTCGTATTTCTGTCATCGCCCTATATCATTAATTCACAAATAATGTTCCTTATTGTTTTTTTCTCAAATTTCGGAAACACTGCATTCTTATTTCAATTTATTATCAAACGATAGATTGATAAAAACATGAAATCACTGTGACTGTCTCTTATACACATCTAGATGTGTATAAGAGACAGGAAACACCAAATCGCCAGGCAGAAACACCAAATTGTTATAAATTGTTGTTTTAACATTGAAATGGGGAAAATAACAACATAGCATGATGTATAAATATATGAAGGTTAGTTTAGTGCAATAAAATAGATTTTAAACAAATTTGACATTCCAGGATATTTTGGCTGAAACATGATTACCGTACTCGCGCGAATAAACGTCCCGTGTGAATAAGCGCCCTCTCGAATAAGCGCCCTCTCGAATAATCGCCCTCTCGAATAATTGCCCCTCCTAACGCGAAAATTTCCTTAAGCGCCCCGTTTGAATAAGCGCCCCCTCCCCTCATAAGATTTTCTTTTTAGCAAGTCAATAATCCAATCAATCCTGGGACTGTGGCTGTTGGCATGATTTGAGTTCTGTAGAGTGGAAACACATTCTTCTTCAGTCAATATCAAAATAAGAATATTTCTCTTGGACAGATGAGAGTTCCAACCCCTGGACAGATGAGAGCTCTGATCCCTGGACAGACAGTATATTTCCAACTTTAATCTTTTTACATATTTGTCTATGTCTAGTCTTACTCCTCTTTTTCTTTTTTCGACCTTAAGCACATTCTCATCTGAGTTTTCAAGAAAAATACAATGATCCAGTGCCATCCTGCTAATCTCAATCGGCCGATGGCCAACAAGCTAACCACTACCCACCACTAATTGCATCTGCTATTTTGCTGTTATGTAAATATTCACGCATCCTTTTATGAGCCATGTTCTCTGGACGATTATCTTTTCTAACCACCATTCGTAATGTCCTTATATAATCTTTTTTTCATTCAAGTGCCTCTTGAATTTTTACTTATTAAAATAATTTGCCATAAGAACCCCTCGATTTTCATCTATTTCCATAAGCGCCCCCTCAATTTCCACTCTGTTTTCATAAGCGCCCCGTTTAAATAAGCGCCCCTCAGATAGTGCAAAAAATATTTTAAGTGTCCGGGCGCTTATTCGCGCGAGTACGGTATCCCTGAAACATGATTTGTTTCGAGTGACTGGTTTGGCTTGTCTTTGCCACATACGTTTGTCTTGCATCAAATTCTGATGATATTGCAATGAGATGCGACTTTCACAGAAGGGGTGGGTGTACTGTATCATACTGTACCTTGTCTGTAAACATTCCCTTTCTTCTGAGTGTGTAAAGCTTAGCTATCTGGTATATGTCAATTGATTCTTCATTATGCATCTGTTGATATAGTGAACTAAGGGCACAAAATGTGCCAGCATTTGTACTACCATACCTGAAAATAACAGAGGCCATAATTAGTGTACATATTAATGAATAGAACGGTTGAAAGATATAATAATAATAATAATAGTTGGATTTGTATAGTGCATCATGAGAAAGAGCCTCTATGCGCTTGGTGAAAATATTCAGCCTAGAAGAGCGTCTGGTAAGTACATAACTGCTAGTTGACGATCGCAATGACCGTATACATGACATCGAGCGAAGATTTAGAATGTTGCTTATGTACACAGGTGAAAGACCATGAAGAGGTTTGTATGTAATGAGATTTATCTTAAAAACTATTCTTTGTTTGACTGGAAGCCAGTGAAGTCGGTTCAGAATGGGAGTGATATGATGAAAACGTGGAGTTCCTGAAATCAGTCTAGCAGGAGAAGCATGATGGTGAAAAAGAAATAGACTAAGACAATGATGATGATGTTAATAATGATGATAAAGTAGGAGGAAGAGGATGAAGATGATGATGATGATGCTGATGATGATGAAGAGGATGAAGATGTTGATTGTGATGTTAATGATGAAGTAGCAGAATGAAGATGATAATGATGATGCTTATGAGAATAATGATAATGATCATTACCATCATCTTCATCATCATCACCACCATCTCTTTCCTAACCATCCTTTTCATTATAATTTCTATCCTCAATATCAGCTTGCTTCTGAATCAATTCAGAATTGAGCATCCATAGCAAAATCTTAACCTGGTAACTTTTATGACTGCTGAATTCATTCATTCAGTGCAGTCATAAATGAATTACAATTTTTTGTCCTGAAAGCAGGGTCTACAATGCAATTTATTAGGAGCAGGAACTCTCCATATCCTTATGACTTGTGACCTGACAAGCTTAGATCCATTTATCAGACTAATCGAAGAATGAGCTTATCAATCAAAACTTACTTATCATGTACTGTGATTGGCCCATCATTGATCATACTTCGATCTTGTACAGCTTTGATGAGGTCGAAGGCTGTGTGTAATGGTGAGCAGCTCTCGGGCCAGTAAGTACAACGGTATTGCTTTACGTCCAGTTCATACTCGTCCTTTAATCCAAATAAACATATCCACAATGGTTAAATACACACATATTTTCGAACATTCAAACAAGCTTTTCAATCTGCAAATACCTTGTCACTTACAGGAGCGGATTTCGCGGGAACTGGCTGGCCGCAGCCCCCACCCCCTTTGAAAGTTTAAAAAACAGAAAAAAAAATAGAAAGAAAAAGAAAAAATTGATCATCCAAAATGCCTCAGAGGTTATTTTCGGGTGTCTAGAACACAAATATTTGGCGAGGGCCTTCCCCGAGCCCCCTAGGGTAGCATTGTCTCAATCGTCCCCACTTTCGGTCCCCACTTTTGAACATCTCTGGATCTCCCTCTCACTTATAGGATGGATGTGATGCTTTGAATATGAGGCCAAAGCTGGTCACTCACTGCACCTGATGGTTGCCGGTCGTTGCAATTCTACGGTGGCAAGTAATTTCTTAACTTTAATAGGTGCTTTATAAGTTTTATTGCATTATTATTATTATTATTAAAAATGCAACGCCACGATGCGCACGCAACAGATTGTCTTTAATGCCAATCTGTTCAGACTACCACTGAAAATCAGCAAAAAATGTCGCATCATCTAACACTCGCATGCACGACACAGTGTGTGCCCGAAATGCAGTTGTTTTTGCCTGTGAGAAAAAAATCATGATTTTGATAGGATTTTAACCGAAGACCTTGAGAACCTGTAGGATAGTGAGGTAGTGTGTGCAGGTCATTGCAGCACAACTGGAATTTTCCAAAAGATTCTTGAACATTCAATACGATATCTTAAGTCTAGTTACTTTTGGCTAAAAGCACTGTTGGAAATTTTTAAATTATTGAAACATTTAAAAAAATATATTTAGTACTAACCTGAGTTGATTGAAGTACAAACTCTCTTGTCATGTAGCCTAGATGGTGTTCCTCCTCTACAAAGCTCACCTTGAAATTTCCGAACACAAGTGGGTTGTCTTTGCTAGTGGGCCAGTAGACAGGTTCATCAAGGGCCTACAGAAGGCAAACACAATTATGCTTTTAGGACACTAACATTTTGAAAATACCAACTCATGTCCACTGAGGCTTTGTTAAAAAGTGAATTTCAGGAGAAAGAAAAGGGAATAAATGTTTTGCTGTACAATAAAAAAATAAAAAAATAACAAATATCAATGAATTGAGAATGATGATGGCAACAGATTTTCCTGTAAAATCATCAGGGATTTCTTGTCCACAATAAACTTGATTGAAATATTGGCTAAATTTACAACGTCAACACAATTATCTGTATTATAAGTATAGAAGCATAGTAATGTTGTTAGGGTAACTGTATAGTAATGTTGCTAGGGTAACTGTATAGTAATGTTGCTAGGGTAACTGTATAGTACTGTTGCTAGGAAAACTGTTTAATACTGCTAAATTAACTCTATAGAGGCTACGTCCTGACTTGGAGATAAGCTGGGCTTGCGCTATGCCAGGCTCAACGTTAAGCCTGGCTTAACTTTGCCGGGCCTTCAGACTAGCAGGATTGGCCAGGCGCGAGAATCTACATATTAATGAACCGTAACCAACAAACGTGTTTCAAAAACTTGTGCTCGAAAGGTACGCTTGCTCACAGCACATGTAATTGAATGCTGACTGGTCATTTTTTTTACTCAAAGTCAACGCAAGACCCTGCAGCGATTAAAGCCCGGCTTAGGAAAGTTAAGAAAGGCCTAGTTACTATAGGAACACGGCCCGGCTTGAGATAAGTCACCTAGTTCAGACTGGCAGGTGGATAAACCAGGCTCAACTCACCAGGTTTATCCAGTCTAGTCTGAACTAGGCCAGAAACACTGTAAATGTGACTGCATTGTTACTAAGGTAACTGTATATTAATGTTGCTAAGGTAACTGTACACTAATGTTGCTAGGGTAACATTATATTAATGTTGCTTGGGAAACTGCACATTAATGTTGCTAGGTAGATCTACAGTAATGTTGCTATGGCAACTGTACAGTAATGTTGCTAGAAGTTAATTCCTGTTGCCAAGTGTCACAAATCTATTTCCAGTGACAGCACCTGAAATTCTCCAAAAAGAGCTTATACAGAGTCCAAGCCCGACTCCACATTGTTTGGAGCAAAATCTAGGAATAGGCACCTCTAGTTGCCTGGAAATTTGTGGACTGTAAAAATGGTTTTGCAAAGCAGTGTTCCTCGACGAAATGACTGGTTTCTTCACTGACAGGTCCTGCACCCCTTGACCGCCTGCTGATGCCACCTATGCCTTTTTCATTATAAAAGTATCAGAAAGTTTTTTTAAATAATTATTTTAAACTACTTTTATATACTTATTAAACAGAAAGAGGCAGCACTAGATGTGCAAGAGCTTTGGCATTCTTTGGCGTTCTTTTAAATATCATTAACCTACAGACTAGAACTAATCATTTTAAACAACTATTGTTGATGTGGATATTTTGTAATCTTCATATATTAAGAAATACGAATCTCTTTATCAACATGTTAACATGTTTTGTAGATAAGCTAATGTGTAAATCTATTTTTGAATCTAACTATTAGTCAAAGAGACATAAGGCTGTGATTGTAGTCACGTGCGAGACATGCTTGCTGGTGTGCCTTCAACAGATCCAATTTGAATACTTTCAATATCTTAGCGAGAAGAAAACTAAGAAAGTTTTTATGAGTAATTAAAAATATCTTATTAAGGAAGTAAAAGCTACACTTCATGCGAGACTGATAAATTAAGATAATTCGAACCTTTCCTGTTCTTTTTCTGAGGCGCCTGCCAATCAAATGTTACATGCAAATGTGCAGCCTGTTACTTTGAACATTCAAGAAATTGATGGTAAGAATCTCAGTTTAATCAGAAGAAGCCATCAGATTATCCTTGTTATATTTTCATGATGGATTAAACACATTCAGGTTTTCTGATTTCATGCCAAAGATTACGCTTTCAAAATATTCTTCAGAATGCCATGGTCTTGGCAAACTATAAATAACTATATTTACAGTGTGTGGTGATGTGTTGCCATGGCAATTAGTTAGCATCCCTTGGGAGGTTGTAGCGTGCATCTATCATGCTTGTTCATTACATTATACCTGTAATGGATCCACTTTGGAATCTTGCGGCAAACATGTCTCGTCCTACGGTGAAGCAAATGTGCATGATGTGTCAATGTCGTGAATAAACAGCAAATTAAAAAAAATCATGAAACTAAAAAAAATAAAATGATGTAAGAAGAATATGGGAAGTGGTCCACATGCAAAATAAATCAGAAATTGTGCATAAAAATATCAATTATTATTTATAAAATAAATTGTTTTCTTCCAAAAGGGAGAGTTCCATTTAGAATATGAATTAAAAATGAAGTACATTTGAAAATTTGACATTTTTTATCATTACATATAAAAATTTAACAAAAAACATGAATTTGCAATTTATAAAGTTACAAAACAGCTCATCAACAATTCATCTACCAATCACGAAACAGCTCATCAAACATTATTCAACGAATCACAAAACAGCATCAACAATTATTCAACCAATCACAAAACAGCTCATCAACAATTCCAAAAATCACAAAACAGTTCAACAATTATTATGCCAATCACAAAACAGATAATCGAAAATTCACCACAAAGCGATCTATACACACTTTCCTCACGCACATTAAATATACACTGTAACACAAGGTCAGTTCAAGAAAGTCATCACCACAGCAACACTTTAACTCAAGTCTGCTTGGCTTGGGAAACTTTAGGAAACGAAAGAAAGCAACAGGCAAAACGTAAAGGAAGGAAGAATGTAAAGATGAATAACTGTGAATGGTGCAAGAAATAAACGTGCAAAAATGAAAGTCATTAAAGTACCAATAGGATACAATGCTATTGTACGTATGCAATTAGTTTACTATAAGGATAATGATGATAATAATAGTAGTGCAGATATTATAAGTTGAGATTGATAATTATGTTTAGTTGATGATGTAGCTTTGACTAATTTGCTGTATATTGTATAATAGATATAACTAGTAGAGCAATCTAAAATAATTACGTGATAATTATCTAGCAAAGCTAATCATTTTTTTGTCTAGAACTATTTATAATTCCACTATTGTTTAAGGCTGTTTCTGTTGGACCTTAATAAATTAAGCTATGTATGGCTAATTAACCCATATTTAAAAAAGTTAATTCATATGATACAGAAACACATAAACAACTATTTTAAATTTTGATTTCATTTTCAATATAATTTGTTAGCTTTCAAATATATGTATCTTAGATTTTATTAGCCTAGATTTCACTACAAAAGCAGCTACAAAATACAGCAGCAATATTTTACATAATAATAGGATGAGCAGTTGGCATAGCATTTGTACATTTCTCAGCTTTAAGGTTGTGGGTTTGATTCCTCCGCTGGCTACATGCTTGTTTGACGGGGCAATGCAGTTTATTTAAATTGTTTCATTCAACCCAGCAGTATAAGTAGGTAAACTGGTAGTTTCTTTATGCTATGGAATATTCTTCCAGGGAGGCGAGAATGAGTTCCTTGCTATAATTTGTTATTATAAATTTAATTAATTTTGTTAATGAATATTACACACTCAAATCATTTGCAGAGAAAAAATTTGTTGGTGGGTGAGATTACTTGTAATTAAAATAATTGAGAAAGAGATGATGGAGCACACTTGTAAGTTGTGAAATGATTACCATGTAATGACAGATGTTCAAATTCATTATAAAAACCATTACTAAAAGCAACAAAATATGAAACTTTATATATCAATAGCTTCATACAGTGAGGTAGCTCTTACCATTACCTTAAACATGTACAATGTGCACCCTCTTGTTAAAATTACATGTATCTTGTATATAATTATTATTTAACCAATATCTATTAGGCCCCTATATGCTTGGAAGAATTTCAATTAGTCTTTAGTTGATTTAGTATAATGTTGTTTCTTTAAATAGACTAAAGATTTTAAACATATGTATATAATCCATATACATAGTTTAAATATTGCTGTATGACTATATAGTTAAAATATATCCATATTTAGTTATTATATAACCCATATATAGTTAAACCAGTCATATAACCACATACAGTTATACTCATATATAGTGTATTATACATAACTCAAATAGATAGTATAACTACATTATCATATAACCTACACAGAGCTATATAACCCAGTCATTCTATAAGCCATATATATTTATGTAACAATATATAGTTATTATATAATCCATATACACAGGCAGTTATCATGTAATTTATTATTTATTGTTAGTATAAATTTCGATCTTGTTTGCCATTTAAATTCCAACATCTGTCACAATTAACGAAACAGAAGATTCACCAAGACCGAATGACGGAAGGAGAAATAATTGTTGAGATACAAGGGACGCAGAAACAAGACACAAGCAAAGCAGACTTACAAGCGGAACATGCAAGTTATAACCAGTGCAAGAAGTAGGGTTAAGGGGGGTAGTCACTGCAGCCCCTTCACCATCCTCATCATCAACCTTGTCTTTTTTATAATCCTTATTCTCCATCTTGACAACCTCCGGATCCTCATCCCAGATTCTTTCATAGAAATTCTGTTTTACCTGGTCGTCTTTGCTGGATATCATGACAATTGTCGGTGAATTTGTGTCCCATATCATGCGCCAGAAGTCAGATATGGTGTTCTCCATCGGAAACTGCGTTACTATAAATTCATTGATTTTCCTATAACCCTATACGTTGAGTGAGAGAATATACACAGATAGACATTATTAGTATTATTATTAATATTTACCTATATAGTGCATTTTCAGATTTAAAAAAATGTTCTATCAATGCTCTTTTAATATTGTAAAATAAGCAACATTCTACATGAACTAAATAACAAAATACAATAAGTTGATTATATACTTGGGTTCAGTTGGTCTGCGAACCATAGTGTGTTTGAGATATTTTTTGTAAATTCAAAATTCATATCCTTATTATGATTTTCTATTTTTTGAATAAGTCTCTCTAAGAAATGCACTGTTTGAATGAAAGCTAGGAAACAAGTATATGTTTCTTAAGTGCCATGTGACTTACTGGAAAGTATGTAGCGTTAATATAATCAGATCCTTCCTCTCCTGCTCTAGCCGACATGGTTACTCGACATCGTTCAACTAAAAAAATATAAGTTAATGAAAACATAGTAGCTGTAGTTAGGTTTAATTTTTGTCAACTCCATTCCCTGTGCCTACAGTTGGTAACCTTTTCCTCTCACAGACCTAAAAATATTCCCACATCTTTCCATTGCCCATTTTTTAAATTGCCTTTAAAATTGGACTTAAAAAGATTTGCCACCTATAAGAACTCTTATAGAGTAGAACCTCTCCTTTGGGAATACCCTATTAAGGTAAGGGGCCACATTCTCTGCTAGTACATGAGAAAAGTATATCTTTTAGCATTATGACATCCTTATTAAGGGGACACCTTTTTGGTCCTGAATGTGTCCCCTTAATAGGATATTTGGATATAACATGTATATAATGATATTGATAAAGAAGGACTTCCTTATGTTGTGGTCATATTAGATTAATAGAGAGGTTTCGCATGCGAACGAATATGTGTACACATACGTTTAGCTATCCGTAACGGTTCATAGCCATTCTGTGTTTTTCGTAATCACAGCGCGCAATTCAAGCATAGCCTAGGCCTAGGTCCTTAGCTTATTAGGCCTACTATCTATACTCTGTTCTCTTTTTTCATCATGCTTCTCAAAGTTTTATCAGTATATGTAAGGTTTTGGAAATTGAAATTGAAAATGTTAGCTGAAAAATACTTCCTTTGTAGCCCAGAAGTGTTGTTTATTTTGTGATAGCCCCTATTGTTTATGACCCAAAAGTGACTGGTTACAAGTAGGTCTAGGCCTACACAAAATCCTGACACCACTAAGGTCAAAGCCTTGACGTTTTGATACCCCAAAATGAGACGCATCCTATCGTAGTTTGCTGTCTTCAGATGTCACAAAAATAGCACGTACGTATTCAAAGATACATTTATTTTTTACACTTGTAAAATGTGAAAAAATAAACGAAAATCCTACTAGAAATCCAAAATTTCTCTACGCGTTTTTTCATTTATGTGTAGTGAGTGAGATATGTGTGTCGTCCACACGTTTAGTGGGTAGCAGCCGGCATATGACGTCAAAATAATGACATATCCATCACACTAACCATACGCGTTTGCGTGTGAAACCTCCCTAATATTTCTTGAAATTTGGATATTTGCAATTGATAATCAACCAAAATTCTCCGTACTCTAATGCTAACTTCCCGTGGACTTTCTTACAATTTAAGGAAATGTAAATTTATATGGGTCTGCAGCTAAATGAAAAATGTTCTATGTTTAGAAGTTTGGTATTTATTTTATATAGTAAAAGGCATGCATTATTCATTCACTAATCATTAATATTGTATAAATTCAGTAAACAGTATTGTTGTTTGTTCTCACATAGTTGTTGTAGTTACTGATTGAAATATAAAATGCGATATTTAAAAACAATTTCAATTGACTAAGTGTACAATCAGGAGCAGATCCAGATATGTCCTGAAAGAGGGAGGGTCCACGATCGAGAGACAACGGTATCCTAAGGGTCTAGCATGCCCCGGGAAATATTTGTTTTCTAGATGCCCGAAAATAACCTCTAAGGAACTCTGGGCAATCAATAATTTCTCCTTCTTTCTTTTTTCCCTAACTTTCAAAAAAGGGAAGGGGTCCCACCCCACCAAATCTGCCCCTGACAGTGTATCTGAACTTACCAGGTAACACATCTGGTCTTCTATTTTTCTTCAGATTGACTTCTTTGTGTGCTTTTACAAAATCATATTCTCTAAACTTGTGTGTATGAAGAAGCTAAGACAAAGATAGATAATGTATCAACATATTGCATTGATGGATGGCTACAAAATATATAAAAACGACAACATAACTACATTACACAAAACCCACTGGTTAACATTTAACATCTCATGTACAATTACATTAAAAAACAGAACAAATTTTAACTGTAATACCGTAAAACCTCGAAGTGAAGCTCAGCTGGCTTAATCTCGAGATGAAGCCCATCTCCAATTGAAGCCCCCTCTTTAGTTTGCAAAATTAGTCTAATAGCATAGGCTTCTTTTCGAAGTTACACTGTACAATAATTTCAAAAAACAAAATAAATTAAAAACAAGCCCCTCCCCTCCACCCCACCCTCTTTAATTTGCAAAAGTAGCCTCGAAAAGAAGCCTATCCAAAGTTCGCAAAAAAAGAAGCCCAGGGCTTCAATTCGAGGTTTTACAGTATGAGAACATTACCTGTGAGTTTCAATATTTTTGAACTATTTTGCAAATAATAAGTTAAGAAGGCATGGGCACTTATAAGGGCATGTAAAGATGCCATGTTGTAAGATATATGCCTACATAGTTGTAGTCATGTGTAATTGATTGAAAGTAAAATTATTATTATGTACCTCAAAATGCTGATCTAATATGGAACGACGTATATTTTCAATGGGTGTCCGTATCTTCTCTATATATTCACGTATTCCTTTAATAGGTACTTCAGAATGCTCTAACCTTAATGCATCTAGTAAGACATCATGGATAAAACAATATTGCTCCTGAGATAAACAGAAAAAGAAATAAAAATTATGAAAATATTAATGATAATGATGACAACTGTTTGGGCTGTTTTATGGTTTGGGGTGTTTTGCACCTCTAGATGTGTATAAGAGACAGCTTTTACACAGATGGTCTCACAGCGCTATTAGAGAAAAGATAATTGAAAAAGGTAAGTTTTGAGAACAGCTTAAGACAGTACTTAATAATAGTAATGACAAATAAGCTGAATGACACATACCTGCAATGGACCACCATTGGCCCTGCATCAACAGGATTTGCTTTAACAGATTTCTTGATAAATGTATACACAGGGAGTGGGTAGTTTGGTACCCCATGATCCGGCCAATCCGTGTAATGGTACTGTGTTATGGGACGATCATTATTCTTCCCCTAAAATATTAATTTAAATATAGTTAATTCATTTAAATATAAGTGCTGGCAGGTGTGAGATATGGATTACATGTTTTGATGATTCAATATTCATTTACACCACAGAGAAAGAAACATTTTTTTTAAATAGAAATATTGAAAGTAGAATAAAACCTGCAAAAATAAAACATTAGCAGCAAATAGTAGGAAAATAAATGAGCCAAACAACTTTAATGAAGGTGTTTAAAACATTGCAAAAATCAATAATAAAAAAAGAAAAACTAGCTTAAAAAATTGTTTTCAACAAACCACAGTTATAGACTAAAATAAACGGAATATAGTATTTACTTGTAAACGTAGGTAATTAGTTTCAAAAAGGTGTCAATATAAACTGATTTTTCATGATGACTTGGAAGTATTAAATTATTTTTAAAGATGTTATCTAATAGTTTAATAAATTTTTCATAAAGATATTAAAATTTACTTGTGCTGAGATTAACAGGATTTAAATCAAGGGAAAACTGAGTGTTGTATTCGTTGACAACCTGAGGGTGCGCAAAATAAATGAAATTGAGATCATCTGACAATTGCTACATCCGCAGACATTAGAATGTCAGCCCTTGTTTGCATTTCGTTTAATTAATTTGGGAAGTCATAATTTTCCTCACATTGCTATCTGACTTGCTAAAATAAATGTTATCACCTTCTGACCATTTTGTAACATGATTGAGAATGAGAAACCAAGTTTAATGATGATTCTAGTTATAAGAGTCTAAAGTAGGTCTTATCAATGTATGATGGAAGAGCATAGAAGTTGTTTATAACGTATGCTGTACAAATACATACCCATTAACATGGGTGATTGCTACTTACAGTAGATGTCTAAATGTTTCATGTAAAAAAGTCTTCTTAAAATATTGTAAAATGGTAAAGTACAGTCAACCTTCCTTTATTACACCCTATATTGCATATAGAGTGTATATATTTTATAAAGTGGCTGTGATAAATTAAGAAAACCACAAACGATATCCAATAAAACAACTTCTTGCTTAATTTGCAAACCTTTTGTATCATATTTCTATGGTTGTCATTGAGGTAAACTTTCAGTATGGATGTTTATAACAGCTTTTTTTGTATCATTCATTTCAACCATATATCTACATATATACTCCAAGTTCCATCAAGAACTTGGGTCTAGATTGTCGAGAGAAAGTGGGCCAACAATGAATTCTAGAACAAGCATTTCAAGCGTCCTCGGGCATCAACGGATATGTACTTCCACTCACGTACAACAATCTGCTTCCTTTTGAAAAGTGCAACATAAGGTACTGTAATTAAATCACCTGACTAATTGCACTACAAGTCGTCAGTCTAGCGCCCTCATAACTAATATGTTACTTAAGCAAACAGCATTATTAATGGTCCATAGAGTTTATTAAGTGTAGTAACATGCGGTGTTATATGAATTTGATGTTTTCATACCTTTTTCATTTTTGTGTTTTTTAAGACAAAATTCCTGATGGTGAAGCTTGCCATCTCATCCTCCATGTAGCATGTTACTTCAAAATCGCCATACTTTTCAGCACTGCCCTCTATTGGCCAATACTTGTCACACTTCCTCTATAATAAAAATAAACAAGAAGTGAAGAACGGAAGAAATAAGAACATAAATGAATAATTATCCCTGCATAATCAATACTGTTATACACTTTTATGTCAATATGTAAGATGGGACTTTAAAACATATTTGTGTTGTCGTTATTTGTGTTGTCGTTATTTATCTCACCTTCCTTAGCTAAACATTTGTTAACTTCCTCTAACTCACCCAAATAACCTTAAATATTCACTCACTATATATGTTTCAACAACGATTTAATATTAAATTAAATGCATATTGAGTAAAACAAATGTATTTATTAACATTAAATAACATTGTGTAAATGGAGGGCTTCTTTATACCAAATTAATAACTAATTGACAATTAAATGGTTTTTATGTCATATACGTTGATACTTTTTAAAATACATATTATTTTGCAAATTTAATGCATAGACAAACAATTAAAAAATCAATAATTTCTGTCTTTACTTTATATTACATCCTCGTTTACTTACCCTGCCTTTCTCCATTAGATTTGTGATCATTATTATTGTATAACTGTTCTGTTCCCAAATCATTCTCCAGAAGTCCTCAACCGTTGTCTTCAAAGGACCTTAAGGAATTGACAAGTGGTATATCACATCATTGTGCTATTATGAGGTTTTATGTGAATCCTAACAGGCTTCATAATTAAATTTTTTTGTGGCATTTCCTACAATCACTAATCCCCACCGGTACCTCTTCCCCTCCCTGTAAACACTTTTCTTTTTAAAAATTACACACTGTAATAAAATCATCCATGTTTTATAAATAGACCAGAGAATAGTAATTCCATGCTTTTCAAATGTGTTGACAAATGTTACAATACAAAGCATACATTGATAAAGGTTAGAAAAACTCAGTAAATGGACTTGTGAACCAGTGATGGCCATACACATCAATCAATTCCAGTCTGTTATTTAAAAGCAAAACGTTTACTTGAGTAAAAGTATAGGTCAAGTAACGTCACCATATTTAGGGATTAACGATTAAGAATTTCAATCGTCCATCTGTTTAATATTCTGTGGGGAATGACATTAATGATGAATTCTAATTGTATGCAAAGGGCAACTAAATCGCAGTAGAGTACTCCACCAAGAACCATGCAATAGAAAGCCAAGCGTTTGCTTAGAACAGGAAACACTATATGACAAGACATTTTCCCCTCATGATATTCATGTCAAATCACAAAGACACACGGCTTTCACTGATCAGGGATCCTCTCAACAGTTAGATAAATTAATCACATTTTTTATACCTTAGTGTATTTAGTGTAATTATTTCAAAGCAAATCATAGTCGCATGAAGTTAATTGGAACTAATTGTTGCTACTGTCAAAATTTTCCAACATTGTCTGTAGTCTGAAAATGCAAAACCTATATTTATACAAAAAAGTAATAAATGATGATTTATATAGCATAAGCATCTGCCATATACCACACTAATTGCACTTATACATACAATTTCTTTTAAACTTTAATTCATATTCCTTATTATTTACAAAATATGATTAAACAACAAAAACATGAGGGGAGGGATAAGAACGCAAAGAGGGTGCGCAGAAGAAAGAACAGAGAAATTAGAATGTGAAGACTTTAAGGTTTGCTGAAGCTGTAAAGTAAGCATTCTATGTAAACACATGCTTATGGCCACGTATGTTCTCAACTTCAACATGTTTTTAATTTTCTTCTACTTTTTTATCTTGTATCATGCTATGACTCACCTTGTGTAGCTATAAATGCATTTTTCTTATTAAATCCCTGAAAATAAAAAAAATATAGCTAGTATAAAAATAGCCCCGCATCAACCTAATTCATATTGAAATCTCTAAAAATAATGTAAAATAACCACAATTACATTTCAAGATTACATAAACATTTACAGTATTTAAAAAAAAATCCCTAAAGTACAATGACCCCAGTATATACATATTCTTTGAAAATCAGTTGTCAATGTGGATATATACAAATCTCCAGTTTTAGAGGTTTCAGTAAAACAATTTGGAATAAAATGACAAAAATGAAATTTAAATATTTTTGTCCTTCTTTGTGGGCAAATGAAATTGTAATATTAAGCTAAAGGGCCTACACCTGGTGATACTGGTTCTCACAAATCAGAGGTTCTATCATGAGAATAAGAAAATTAGATAATCATGAAAGATAAATTTATTAAAAGATTATAATTAAAAGAAAAGATAGAAAAGACTTGCATCAATATAATTGCCGTTGATGTAATCTGAACATGGCTTGTCACCAATCACCTGTAGTTTCACTCTGGAATGATCATCTACCAAAAAAAAAATAAATAAAAAGAAAGAAAGAAAGCATTATCAAATATTTTTAATAACAACAGAATATAGCCAGTGTAAATGTATCAGTTTCAATTCCAAGTACTGATGTAGAAAAACAAAGAAAGCATTGAAGTTAATTTTGAATAAGGCTTCAAAATTACTGTTGAACACCAGACTGGAAATAATTTACTATAAATTATAAATATAAATTTCTTTAATTAATTAATTATATAAATATATAGAATAATTTTTGATTGTAAAAATAGAAGAAAAATTGAAGGAATAATTGGAAGTAAATTAGCTAGGTTTAATTTGTAATTTTTGGTTGAATTAATCAAATTCCTACATGCTATACTATATTCCCTACCATGCTATAAATATACTATATACTTGTTTAAGCCTTAGTTTTCCCCCTTTTGCTGTTGTTTCTGTGCTTTGGTGACTGTTACAATGTTTCATATCTCTTCCATATTGTAATTATTGTATTTTACTCTCAATTGTATATTAATGCGAATACCAAATTTCCTTTTTTAGAGTAATAAAGTTCATCCTGTCTTATTTTATCTTATACCCACTATACATTATATTGATTTTTTTTTTCATTTCTCTCTTTATTTCGGAATTCATATCTATAGAAATATATATATAAAGTGTCTCTAGCAGGCTATAAGAATGAAAAAGAACAAATTCTATATCAATTATTGACCTATGGAACATACACTTTTGTGCTTTCCTAGCAGCTAAATAGGGTATTTCCAATGTACTTGTTAATGTTATGTTCGTTTGATATACTGATTTGTATTATGTTTTGTATATTGGATATATGTATAAATAAATAATAATAATAATTATACAGAAGCTCTCTCCATTTTCTGAATAAACAGGAATCCTTAAGAAAATATTAATGTAACAGTAACACAATAGAGGGTTTTCACTTCTCAAAATCCATTGTGAAAACAAGATAATTACATTGTACAGAATTTACAAAAAGTGCACTAACATTACAATACCTAGATTGTTGTAATAGTTTTCTTAAACAATTTTTGTAACACACTCTCAATGTATTCATTGAGGATACTCTATACACACTATCAATACACATACTATAAAATAAAATGAATGAATGAATGAAACTATATGCACTGTATATATACTCTATACACACACTATATACATACATTCTATACACACTACATAATTCAATACACTATACACTCAGAGCCACCGAGAGCAGCTGTGGGCCCCGGGCCCACAGCTGGGAAAAAAAAACCAAAAAAAAAACCATGAAAAACAAAATCTATCTTTCCTTTTATTCAAACGTTGTTTATTTAATTTTTTATTTTTACCTTGCAGCCTGGGCCCTGTATGCCCTGGCTTCTTGGCATCACTGTATACACTATATTTATACTATGTGCACTATACTATATATACTATACACACATACTATATACCACACATTGTATACATTATACATACGTTCTATACACTACACACAATATATACTTACATGCTACAATGTTAGTATAGCGATTTTTAGACTTGCAAGCTGGATCTGTTGATGCAGTGGCAGAGTAATCGCTTTTAACACAGCTTTGGATTTCCTGAAATCACAAAAAAAAGTTGACATTTGAAAATCATTTGGCTAATGTTTTTCCAACACTCTGAATGGATCTAAGTACAGACTGATAGTCAAGTACTGTAGATCCTTTTTTATTACTTTTGCATTTAGCAGCCAGTATTAAGATGAAATGATGCTTTACAAACTAAGTCTTATTATAAGGCTTCCCAAAGGATTTGAACCCAGGAACCTGGGATGGGAAACATTCATCTTTAAGATCAAAGTTCAGCTTTCTTGAGTAGTGTATACAAACACAAATAAACTTTATTGTAATTGCCAATACAGTATACTGAAATTGAAGTTGAACATATAAGATTGATTAAATTTAAGTATTCTTTATAATATTGATATAAAAGAAGTATTTGTAAAACCTAAGTATAATAAAATTTGTTCACAACCTACAAAGGCCTGGCTAATTATTCATATTATTTCTTATTAACCATCATCCTAAAATTAAGAACTTGATGTCATCACATTATTGATACAATATATAAATCAACCAATCATAAAAGTGTTTAATATAGTTATTTATAACATTTAACCAGGGTGGCCAAATGTGTCTCTCCCATATGCTCTGGGTTAATGCAAAGAGTACTGCATTGCAATGTCCGACTGCCCTGATTTTGTATGCATGCAATGAAACGTTTAAAAAAGCACTACCAGGAGATAGGTGGCACCCTATTTACGAACACCTTTTACATTCTTTTGAAGGATGCCTTCTAGTTTATGATACTTCTTTTGAGATAGGATTGCGTTGCAACAAAACCCCAAGAGTCGGAACTCTTGACTGCTATAGGCAAAACAAAGTTGCCAACCATGAAACATGAAATTTCCCTTTTCTGTTGTCTTTCATCACCGATTAAATTATGTGGTGTCACAGGCAGGATGCAAACAATTAAGAAAAGAGTAAAACTTCTTCCAATTAACACCTACAGAACTTTGTCTACTTACTTCAAATTCCTCAGCGAATCCGCTGTCACTGTTGGCATGGTTCTTCTTGACATGCTCTGCAAACTTTTCGATTGGTACAGGAGGTTCTTCAGGATCCTCTGCAAAAACATTACCACAAGAGACATTTATTATCAGGTTTCAAAATCATTTAGATATAACATATAATTTTGTCAAGTACAGGAGCTTTTGTAAGGTCGTGAGTTTGAATTAAATTTTCCTGACATTCTTCAGGTTTTTAAAATTTCTATTATTTATTTATTTATTTCAACAATCTTTAATGAAGGTTGTCCATTCATCAAATGTCCAATGGTTTAGCTAAGTTAATTGAATAAAAGAAACAAGTAAAATGAAGAAGAGACAAGAAAAAGGAACAACAAAACCATCAACAAAAAAGAAAAACAATTGAAATACTGTATTGCAATGTTTTCCAAAAAAAAATATAAATGAATAAAAATATTCGCTGGTATCTTTCAAAAATGCGTACAATAAAAACAAATCAAACGTTTTTAAGCTCAGAACACCCGTATACGCAAATGAGCTATGAACTTTAGAAAAATGTTTCTTGAATGAAGAATATTGAGCAAAAACTACAATATATGTGTTTAAATATATACTGTATTTGCATTTCTGTTTGCTTTTTATGCTTTAATATGATAAGCAAGGTCGTATTTTAATTTTTAAACAAAAGAAATATGGTCTTTAACATACTTTTTAAAATTGAGTTTTGTGAAAAACAAGTACTGAAAATATACATTTAATAATAAAAATGGTTAATGCACATACTGCTAGACCCTACATGTGCTTCACATTTTCATCCTTGTCACGTAATAAACAACATACACAAACTTAATCCCACAAACACTTACATACATGTACCCATGTATTCCCAACACCATCCATGCAAGGTATATAAAAAAACAACCTGACTTGCAATATAATATCTTATTAAGCAAATCAAATTAAAGGATGGGGAGTGGAAAGAAATGGTAACTAATAGGATATTAAAAATTATGAAATGTGGTTATATAACTTTAAGCTTATTTAAATGTTACAGCTATTTTTATATAGTTAATTATGCATGTGTATATAGAGCCATGTTGGTGGCATACCAATTTAAAAAAATTAAAGCTGGGACTTGCAGTAATTCTTAATTATTTCTACGTTATTTTGTTATACTTATATAGTTTTATTAAAAATATAATCAAAGATTGAGGTGCATGCTAAATTGTATACACAATACATGCAGATTGCATGCATCCATTCTACTATATATTGTCGATCAAATTATAAGGCAAATATTTAAATTACAGGTGGTACATGAGGAAGCAGGAGGCTAATCATGCAAATGTCACCATAATTGATTTATCACATCATAATTAAGATAAAATCGATATAGTTTTGTCATCAGTCATAGTTAATATCTTTAACTATGCAAGCTATCTATCCATGGTTCATTTGAATACAGGTGGTAATATGGATGGTCAGAGGTCATTTGGAAAGATAAAATCATGCACCAACTGTATTTTAATTGTTTATACTATAGATTTATTATTGTTGTTTATATAATCTAAATTATAAATTGCATTCTGAGTAGCCTTGGACCAGCATATTGGCCCAGTTGAATTGCCTTTAACTTGCTGTCTTTTTGTCACATTCAACACTGTTGAATGGCTGCTGCTGTTTTCATCATTATTCTATTGTTTTTTAGTTTATTTATTATGTATACTTATTTACTATCAACATATTATATACTAATTATTTATTATTATTTATCTTGAATGTTCAAATTTACATCTTTTCAATCTACAGTGTGCCATGGTTTTACCTTCTTTATTGAAAGTGTGAATAAAATGTAAAATTTTTATATGAAGTGCAAATATACCGAGACTAAAGGTATTTATTTCACTACTGTCTACAACATACAGCTTTCTACAATAAAAAACAAATGCAGAATGAAGAGGATTGTATTACAGAACAAATCCTAAAATAAGTTTACCTTTGCTTTTGCGTTTACCTAGCAAGTCAACAATACATCCATCCACTAGCGATTCAAAAGGGATGCGGAAAGGAGAAATTAGAATTACAAGGAAAGAGAGAGTCATTAAAATTGGTTAATATCAATGTTAAGAGCTCTGAATGTGTCTGGAAGGAGTCGGGAAAATCCAAAGTGCACAGTTAACTAAAGGTCAAGGCCTATGAGAAGAAAACTGTAAAGAACCCTTTTGCTAAATATTATGTGAAGAATGTATGTAAAGACAGACAGAATGCAAGTTAATCTGTCATTAGGCGAGACTTTTTTAAACCTTCTTTAGCGAACTTTGCCAATAATGATTTCGAAAAAAAACTAAAATTTTATTTTTGCACCCGCCCAAAAAATGGAAATTTCAGAAAAAAATTAGTTTTCCTTTACTTTTATTATGCAAACTGCTGCCTTAAAATCTAAAATATAATATGTATATTTCTTTTTAATTATATAAATTTAAAGCATTTAACCATCACATGACTACACTGTTTACATTCACCAATAATATTTTATTTATTTTCTCATTTGTCAAAGTCTGTATGTTTTTGGCAAAACCTTTTGCTAAGAAAACAAAATTTAATTTTCATTTTTTTCACCCACTTCTGACGATCTTTAAAAAAATATAAGTGCGCAAAACAAGGTTTTAAAAAATCTCGCCTTACAATAGTCACCAATATTAATAAGCCTTTTTTTTTAAAAGAATTTTCCTAGCGAAGTAATTATATTGATTTAACCAATTCTGTGAAATAAATAGAAAATAAATGTGTAATAAAGTTTTAAAAATGTCAATTTACAACATTGAACTATCCATATAAAGGAACAAATACTGTAAGTTGACCTCTGATATCACACTGGCAAAAATAATTCAGTTTTCACTAATTTCCAGACTTTTCTTACAGCCATACAGTAAGTGCCTACTCACCATATGGGATTATAAGTTGTTGTACTTTAACCCCACAATCATATACTATATATGTGACTGAATTAAAACACTGGAGAAAGGAAATCTCTCATTTTCAATCTGGATACAAGTTAATGTAAAGTTGATTTGTCTCAAATTGTTAATTTGTGACATGTGACCAGTGCTCATGATACTGAAACTTGTGATAAATCCAAAGAGCTACTTCAGACTTCTTTCAGTTTCTTAGAATAATAAACAATTGTCTTACCTCTTACAACAATTAGTATGCACTAACTGTATATTGTAGCAACTATTTTTAAAAAGGTTTTAATTCATTATGGAGGTGATGGTCATATGGGAAGATTATCTTATGAAGTCCTTGAAAAACTTAGCACGCGTTTCATGTAGAATGTTGTCTCAGTGAGTCTGGTATTAGTAGTTTCATTTGGTTAACATGTTCCCTGCAAGTGACGAATATACTTCTTATACAGGATGAGCTGGGGAAGGGGGCGGCAGGGGGTTGTGTGGAGTGGCGCCAACCATAAGTATACTCGTCAAAAACAGGGTAACATTGTAGCGTGTGGGGGCGCCCTCTTAAACTTATACCAACTTGTGCTCGTCAAAACTGGGTAACATGATAGCGTACAATATACTTCACTGTAGAATCACAGACTTATGGCTAGTACAGTAGTTTAGGGAGGATACATCTAAACGATAATGTGCACATCATGTATGTATACTTTTTACATTATATTGCCACAATTACATTTAAGATAGCATGTGTGGGGGCACCCTCTGAACTTATACCAACTTGTGTGCAAAGTGGAAGAGAAAACTCGAAATTTGCACAGGCAACGACAAGTTTACTGGTCCCCTAATACTTTTCCGCCAAATTATTAGACACCAACATTTTGACGATTTATTATATAATTTGAAAAATGTATGTTTCATAATGTAAACTTGTTTAGGCATATGGGGCAGAACTTGTACAAAAGGCATGGAGGTCTATGGAATCTCTTCCACCAACTTTTTCCTGAAACATGCAGCAACAATCTATTAGTATATATATATATATATATATATATATAATTTTGCTTTCAGTAGACCATGTATTAAAATTGGTTTTGCTATGCAAATTTTTTGTGATTAATCAAACAATCATCAAGAGAATAATAAGGGTGTTTTCCATGTCATTAGCACAGACAACTGGTGGTGGTAATATTTCTTTTATGTTAGATGTGTATTTAGGGTAAATAATGATGAAAAACCCACTTTAAAAAAACCCACTTTATTCAAGTTTCTTCTTCTGTCACTTGTAAGGCAATACAGTTTGTTTAATGGCCTTTATATACCAGTGTAACACTGTTGATAAGCAGCACATGGAGTTCACTTGATTTTTAAGCCTTTGGTATAAGTAGAACGACAAGAAATATTTGTTTTTGATATTTCCTGTAATGAATAGTTCAACCTGTGTTTACCTTGTACCTTGTATCTCCACGTCTTTGGTAGATTAAAACAACCAGTCACAAGTTTTGGTTGCTACCTTCATTATGTATTATTAATCTATTTTTAATAATTTTTAATATGTCATGTCATGACATATCTTACCTGGATCCTCAAACACACTTATCCTTGGACCATTGCTTCCTTTGTGTTGGTCAGACTGGTCATTCCGACGTATTCTAAAAAAATAATAAAATAAATCATATGTTATTATCATTCAATTACTATTTATAGTTTATAATATTTGTTATGTTAAAAAAAAGGAAAAACTGATTATAATAAATCAATTTGAGTATGACTTCTTTTTTACATCATCAATTTATCAGAATAACAAAAATTATAGTAAACAAAGAAAGGTGACCCCTTCTCATTATTTATCATCAATAATATTTTAGATTCAAAAATTGTTAATTAATACATTCAAACAAAAAATATTCCCTATAAAAGAAGGTAATAAGATATGAAAAAAGGAAGACACATGCATAACGATGCAAACTGATGTACATTCATGTCTGAATTACTTCCAGCCTCCAGAAGGGTAAACTGATGAGGGTGAAGGGGAATACAAGGACGACAGGAACATTCTTACAACTTCAAATAACTTCTAGAAACATTACAATTTAAAAAAAAACCAAACACGTCTTCAAATTAATTAATTTCCTCTATGAATATATCAATTTGGGTAAACTGACAAACACAACAAGACAAATGTTTGCATTTTGAGAATAAAGGCATTGATGCTAGAATAATTAGTACATTTTCTGCTACGCAGTAGAAGAATAGCCTCACTGTGGTGTAATTTTCCCACAAAATATGTACTACTACTGACGTTGGCAAAGAAAGAGCTTCACAAAATAGAAGACGCTACCTATTGTAAGCTCTCAAACAATAGCTTATTCTTCCCCTTACCTTAATAAAAACTGGTGGAAGACATTCCGTATAAGGTTCATCTAGAAACTGTTTATGTAGGCCTATGATAGACTCATGGCAAGAATGCTCAGATGGATAATTCAGTACTCTTGCATGTGAAAACTATATTCTTGGTAGTTAAATCTCGGGAGAGTAGAAATACTGACTTGTTTCATTTTGTCTAAGTAATATAGCTGTGGAACTCTTTTAATAGATAATAAACCAAGCAGTGTAATTGTTTAAAAATACTTTTGTTTATGTATGCAAATATTGACCTAGGCTTGACATGATTAGATCCCATGATTAGATAGGCAAATTACACTGAACAATTAGAGGATTAGATAAAATAAGTTTGATTGCCAAGAATACTATGATAATGCCTTCAGCTTCCTTTATTCTTTTTGGGTAGCAGAGCACTATCCTGTCCTTCTAATGGACCTTTCTATGCCTCAATAAAAATGCACCAACTGACCAATCAGTATGTGTTATTCAATGAGACCCTGAATACATGTTTCTAAAAAAAAAAAACAAGTTTACGATTGTTATGGTTTCAGTTTTGTGGGGCCTTCACAACAACATTAAAGTGGCATGGTTTAGCGTAATATCTATAACATCCTACCACATAGTGATTATAGTTTTGGGTTGAGAAACACTAAGGTTGAGCACCCTGACCCAATATGTAATACTGTAAAACATGGGACTTGCACCCTGACTTTAACGCTAAGCATTTAGCTGAGAGGTAATAATTTCTGCTTTTTGTGTTGAATACCCCTGCTAGCGTCATATTTGAATTAAGCAGTTTTCAGACTGAGGCTCTGGCAATATTGTGGTAATAATACCATAATACACTTACTGGCATAAACAACTCATACCAACCAAATATTGCGTTAAAAATACAACAATTTAACACCTTTCTGTATGAATGGAACCCGGACGCTGAGAGAGCTATTAGTTAATCTTTTTAATCATGACAGACTGACAGCATCCTTCATTGTTATTGTTTCTAGGAAATTGCGCTGAATGCAAAAGTACAGTAAATATTAATTGAACCGTAAGGCTGACTTTACAATAATTTCTTTGATGTTATTCTACCTTTGGTATGTGCAGTACATAATGTTTTCTATGTACTGCACTTGCTACAACAACAAGTAAATTTCTGACGACAACACATAAATTATATAGCCTGCCTAATTAGGAAGAAATATCTTACAGAGATTTAAAGTGAATGGAGGGCGTAATTATATAAATATTTTTTTTTTAATGAAATTTCAGTTTTTTGTAGCGTGGAAGGTTTCGCTAACTGGACAAAAATAAAAATTATTTTTTATTTGAAATCATCATTACTGACGGTCAGAGGGTTCACTAAACAATGTATAAAAAGTCTTGCTTAAGGAGTAATATTATGGGAACGCACCGTAACGGCAATATTGCAGTAATATTACTAGGTCTGAGAAGGAACGCTGCCCTGACCTACTCATACAGAAGGCAATGTAGAGAACATTCCCGCAATAATGCGGTAACGTAGCTCTGTATGAAAGCGGCCTTAGAGTCAGATTGCTTGGCTCCTTGAATAAACTTCACATAAGAGTAAGGTGGGATAAGCGATAATGTACCAGTTATATGTTCAAACTGGTGCTGCAAAGTGGCTGTCAGAGTCCAGGGGTACATCCAAAATTTCCAATTTAAAATATTTGGAACTGGACGAAAAAATACATTATTTATTTATTATTTATTTATATTTATATATTCACTGAACACTTAAATATTTTTTTAAAATGGGAAAGCATGTGAAATGATGATTATGACATGCAACAATTATTAAACGTGAATGACAATTAGGATAGTAAACATTTGCATCATAGTTATCCAAAATCTTCAAACAATAAGATTTTAATGCACTTATGGTATAAAATACAGACAAAATGAACTTTAAAATTTTTTTTCATTCTGGAAAAAACTAAAAATAAGTAAATTATTGAAGGAATTAAAAAATAAAATAAATTGAAACTGTCAAAATGCATTATGACGCATGACCATTGCACGCACAGTGTAAGAGGGAAGGAGACGATCAAACAGTGTTAATATTGTTAAATATTCAGGAATGCAAAATATTCAGTTGTATTTATTGAGGATATTACCTGTCTATAACTTTCATGATTTTCCTCTGTGCATGGTCGGCTAACCTACAGAGATGTGAATAGTTCATCAATCCATCAATCAATCAATCAATCAATCAATCAATCAATCCATCAATCAACTACCAAATCAGCCAATCAATCAATTATTAAGTATCATTACTAGTAGAGCACAATGCAAATCTGTTAAAATAGGTTTTATTTGATCAGTGACAACAACATGCTGGAGGGGAAGCCCTCATTGAGGAGACCCTCATTACACTGGAGTAAACAACCACATGCTTATATACCCAAGCTCATATCACACCATTCATGCACTCAAACATGCTAACCCTGTCAAATCACCATGACAACCAAAATTAATAGTGAAAAATTATTGTTTTTATAATAAATATTTTAATTTACAATTTGGAATAAAATGAATTTCAAATAGACAGTTGTATTTGATTAGTTGCCATTGATCATGTTAATTACCAAAACAACAAATACAATAAACAATAATAATATTTAAAATGATGATCAACTATACGTATACATGGGCTGTATGGCACACGGGACCAAAGGCTTAAACCTCTCCAGAAGACGGAGCGCTACTGAAACATTTCAGCCTTCCAGCTGAAACACAAGGAGAGCAGAGATGGGAATTGATCCGCGGACCAAGAGATCTCCACGGTTCAGCGCACACACAGTGGCTACCACCAGTTTAGCCAACTGAGCTAAGCAACTTTCTACATATTAACCAACAAGCTACAGCTACACTTAATAATAGTTGGATTTGTATAGCGCATCATGCAGAAAAGCCTCTATGCGCTTGGCGATTGAGCTCTTTGAGTTTGACATTTTGAACAAAGTTGATGTTAAAAAAGTTGATGTTTATTTTTTGAAACTAAAAAACCTACTCCTTAAACTAAGGCATGGTTGGCTGTTGGCTCCAAGGAGTTCATCCGCCCTTTGTTCAGCTGTTTTTTTCATGCTGCTGTGTGTCCATCCACCCACCCTCCCATCGGCGGCTGCTAAAGACCACCAGATGGGATTGCCGGAATTAGTCGCCGACGACTCGACAGGATGCAGTTTATAACATCATACTTCTTTATGTAATGTGGGATAATGTACTGAGCAGACCACAAGAATATTACAAATTTGATTAAAACCTAATTTTATACCAGTGATATATTAAGTACAGATTATATGTAATTAGATTATTCCATATATCCATTCATCTATCTATTCCAGGGGTGGGCATTAAAATGGGTTGGAAATCCAAACTGAATTTTTTATTCAACTCTGAGGGCCGCACACAAACTTTGATGTTTCAGTGCACTTTCAAAAACCTTCATACACTGCTTTTAATACCACTTTATGCTCAGTTTTACTATTACTTTTTACAAAATGATAGGTGCCGGGCTGCAAAAAAAACAAGATGTTTTCTAGCCAATGATGGTTGTCGGGCCGTACACATAGGGTTTCATAATTCATTTTCGTTGGCTGCAAAAAATCACTGTAGGGCCGCACTTTGCCCACCTGTTATCTATTCATTCATTCATTACTTAAGCCGCAATCGCACTGGATTTAAAATAGGGAAATTTTTACCGAGACTGTGGGTAACATTCAAATGGGTAAACTTCCTGTCGTTCGCACTGGGATTTATCGACATGGTTAGTTTTACCACAGGCCATGGTGAAACTAACCATTCGTACAGATTCAACTATTGGGAGCGCTAAATCGTGAAGTTCACTTCCGGTATGTGTGGCAATACAATTAACGAAAGCGACGTTCTCCTTCTTGTTGTGACAGTGTTTCTTTGGACTAGGCCCACATCATGTTGTATTTGTTGATAATCGCGATGGATTGTCTCACCAAGACCTAGCACATTTATTAATGCTCCATATAAATCGGCCATTGAAACAAACCGAGTAAACAAGTGAAAAAAATGACGAAATTACTCAAAATCAAGACACTAGCAAACACGCACGAAATTAATCAAGATCAGGCCCGTAGCCAGGGGGGGTTTTTATGGTTCGGGCGAACCCCCCTTTTCTAGCGAACCCCCCTGTTTTCTAGCGAACCCCCTCGAATTTTTCAATGAGTCCCACCCGTTTTTAAATTGTAGCCTGCATTACAAGCCTACATTCATAG